CTCGATCTTTCACGTGGCCCGCGCCCCACAACGTCGATCGGCCATGACACAAACATCTTGCGCGCATAAGACGTGCAACCATGGAAAACGAATGTCGCAGCCTAAGGACCCAATCGCCATCTCGCCATTTAAGAGGGGGGCTTCCAGACGACAGGCCAACCAGAAGATCCGGACTGGAGAGCGTTGAGCTCCATTGGTTTTGATGCGGGGGAGGGGGGCCGACTTTAAATTCATAGAGGGGGGCGGCTGGCCTCCACTATCAGACTCCATGCCCCCAAAGACCCCTCGTTCAGTTTGTCGCTCGACCGATCAAAAAAAAGTGGTCCTTGTTAGAATCCAGAACTGCAGAACCCGCTGGCGATGACGTTGGCGTTCCTGAGGGGGTCGCCGCGGGGGGGGCGTTGACGCCGAAGTAGGGCAAGGTCGACGGGGAGAGGCCTGCCTCCTCCCGCATCTCGGCCTCCTCGCCAAGGGTCGGCAGTCGGTCGGTCCACGGGATGCCCGACGGAAGCTCCTGGCAGCGGCAACGGAAGGGGGATCAGCGCGAATGGAAGTACGAGAGGGGGATGAGCAGTAGATCTCACGACCGCATGTCGAATAGCACAAGTGGGTTGGCCACCCAGGATGGATCGGGCGATTGGCGCAAGGCGGAGAGACGGGGGCAGGATAGGAGGGCTGGGGGGGGAGGGGTGAGGAATGTCAGGAGGACGAGGGGGGAGCACGAGGAGGATGAGGAGAATAACCCCGAGGAGGAGATCGAGGAGGAGGAGGAGTAGGAGGAGGAAGTCCATCTGACGTTTCGGAGTTCTCCTGATCCCTTTGCGCTCGTTTCGTCTGTCGTCCCTCCTTCCCTTCCCTCTATCCTCCCTCCTTGCTCAGGCGGGCGCACTATTTGATTTCTGCGATGGCGTGACACGCATGCCGAAACTATGCACAACTGGATGTTCTCGCAGCACCTCTGGAACAATCGGACACGACTGCAAGTAGCTATGTTGTGGTTTGTTGTGTCTGCGCACATCGTTCAACCATCCCACTGGTTCCTGCTCTGGAATGCCGCCTGGAAAACTTAGCAGCGTGCAGCGTGAAAAGTCGCTCTCTCACTCGCAGCTCTTTCAGTGCCTCTAGTCGAAGATGCTCCCAAAGCCTGGCGGCGGCACGTCGTCGAAGCCATGCCCCAAAGCTGTCCACGCCGCCGCCTCCTCGTCACTGCTGGCCACCGAAGCAGCCTCCTGCGTCTCGCCCGAAGCGCCAGGCCCCTTCGACGGCGACGCCTTCTTCCCCACAACCTTGGCCTTGCCCTTGGCTTTGCCCTTCGGCTTCGGGTGCTTGGCAGCCGCCACAGGCGTCGTGTCGCCCCCGCAGCCTTTACCTCCTGCAGCTGCCTCGCCTTGGCCACCAGGTTTTGCTGCAGGGCGCTTGCGCACTGTCGTTAATGACGCCACCTTGGCCACGCAGCTGATCTTCTTCTTGATGAGGTCGTCCTTGTCGATCTTGTTCTTCGCGTACATGTGCACCAACTCCTCCATGTGCTTGCGGATCTGGCTGATCTGATCCTCGTTGAAGTCTCGCAAGGATTGCTGGGCGAACTGTTCATTGCCATCCGACTTCTCATGGCGAATTGCCAAAAATGAGAAGCCGCTCCGCTTGAAGTCGACGAGCCTGACTTGGCCGTCGGTCACGTGCTCGACCCAGTTCCTGGCTACCTGGGAACCCTTGGAGGAAGACTTCAAGAGCTCCTCCAACTTCTCAGCGCTTACATGCGGTACCGACCACGTGTCTCCATCTGGCCAGACCGCAACGGGGAAATCTTTGCAGTGCCCTTTCAGCAAGCCATTCTCAACGCTCGGGATCACCAAACGAATCGCCTTCTCTCGCTCCGCGCCCTTGGTGCGGAAGGCGGCCTGCATCTCAGCATCCCACGCGTACTTGCACACGTAATCCTCAGGAGTTGTTGTCCTCCGCCGCTTCGAGCAGGGCGCCCCAGCAGGCAGCTTGTCTGCAGCACTGGTCAATCCCGAAGCGCTCGATCCCGAAGCTGCAGTCTCCGCTGGCTGTTCAGCAGCCTTGCCAGCCGCCACCTCCTCGCCAGCTGACTCCTCGTCCTCAACTCCCTCCTCGGTGGCGCCAGCTTCGTCCTCAGCCTCATCCTTCTCGGACTGCTCCTCCTCTTCACCCTCTTCGAACTCCTCGCCGTCGCCCCCCTCCTCCTCAGCAGCGCGGCCTGCGTCTCCTCCTGCATCGCCAGCTGGCTCGGCAGGAACGACCTCGGCCGCGCTCCCTGCGCCGTCCTCCTCTGCGCCGCTGTCGGCACCGTCGACTTCCTCATCGGCAGGGCCGGATGGTCTCGAGTGCTTCCGAAACGCCGCCAGGCATTCTGGGATGTCCTCGTCGTCGGCACGATCCTTGAACTTGCTGACGTACTGCTCCATGTCGCGCCTCATTGCCCTCAATCTCTTGGCCAAGCCCTCTGCCCACTTGCTTCTCGAGTCGCTCAGGTGGAACGTGTCTTCCTTCTCCGCCGCCACTGTGTCGAGCGCCTTCTGTAGCTGGAGTTGTGGCAAGCCCGCTGGCAGCAACGCTATCGTGTCTGCCCACTTGAGCAACTCGACGTTGTTGCGCGGGCCTCCTGTCACATCATCCCTGTAGTCGGGCCTGGCGGTCGAGGTGATTACCTTACTGAGATCCTCGGTGAGCGCATCAAGATCATCATCGGATATGCTGGCTCTCCTCTTGGGAGCCATCTAGGCCGTTCTGCGCGCAGATGCACTCGGCGCGTGCGCAAACCTGAATGTTTTGAGCCAAAACGGCAACAGAAGTCACGCTGAACAACAATTCGAATCGATGAGATTCGGCATGCCTGCCGAAAAATCAATGTGTCAAATCAATGAGTCATTGAGCGCGCCCTCAAGGGTACCGCCCTGCACGCTAGGATTCCGAAACTACCACGCCTGTGGTATCGCCCTGGCCAGCGATCGGCTGCGAATCCAGCTATGGCGACGAGGGTGGCACCACGCGCTACACCACGCGCCCTTCCATCTCCCGAATTCTTCTCTCTCTTGGGCGGGGGTTGGGGAGGGGGCTGGAGTTGGGGGCGTAACTAACATTGCTAGCTGCATGCCCCCGATTTGGTTCCGAGCGGGACTCCAATGGGTCGATCACGGGACAATTCAGGAATCACCGCGAGACAGGCACGGGGAGATGTCGGCACCGAAAGGGGAGAGGTGAGCGAGAGTAGACAAGACACCTTGCAAAAAAGAGAACATAAAAAGAAGAGCCGCTGCAGTCCTCCCGTTCCGCGACGCGACCTTCCAGCGCCATGGCCGCGCACGTATCTGTCTGGAGAAGAGAAGGTAGAATAATCTTCTCGGGCGCCCCCCGCGAACTCAGCCGCTGACTGGCGGCGAACGACAACGCACTGCACAATGCTCGCCGTCGTCCCTCGGTTTCGTCTCCCCCGTCGCCCTCGTCGTATCTGTCGTCGTCGTCGACCGCCGTCGCCATCGTCGCCATCGTTTAAACGATGGCGACGATGGCGTTTCCGTCGTCGTCGTCGCGGCAGCTTCCGTCGACCATGGCGCGTGGAATTATTTGACACTAGTGCCAAATAATTCCACGACCCCCGAAAGGGGGTTGGCGGGTATGTGAACCCAAGATGTCGATGTTTCTCTATGTTTCCTCATCCTTGTCCTGTTTCTCCCTCCCCCTCTCTGTTTTTATCCTTCTGTTTGTTTGTTCATTTCCCCCTGTTTCTAGTTCGTGCCTCTTTTTTTTATTGTGGCGCACAAGATGTCAGAAACAAGAAGATCGAAACAAAAAAAATGTAACTCAAAGAGTTGTTCACCAACTTTGTAAGCAAAACAAAGAAAAGCTTATAAATAAGTTTTGGATATTATTATAAGCTTCAGCTTCGTAAAGCTTAAAATAAGCCGGTGTGAACCTCAGGGGCTGACCCGGTGACCCGGTGACCCGGTGGGGTGGGTCAGCTGATCCGGTGACCCGGTGACCCGGTGAGGTGGGTCAGCTGACCCGGTGACCCGGTGACCCGGTGACCCGGTGGGGTGGGTCAGCTGACCCGGTGACCCGGTGACCCAGTGGGGTGCGTCAGTTGACCCGGCGACCCGGTGACCCGGTGACCCGGTGGGGTGGGTCAGTTGACACGGTGACCCGGTGACCCGGTGGGCTGGGTCAGCTGACCAGGTGACCCGGTGACCCAATTAAAAAAAAACCTCTGGTCCGGAGGTTTCTGGAAAACCCACCCCCAGGGCGGAAGCCTGAGGGCCCAGACGCCGTCCAGGACACTTGAAGGACGCCCCCCAGGGCACGTTCCCAGGACACCTTTCAAGACGCGTTCCAGGACGCCCTCCAGGACACGTTCCAGGGCGCCCTTCAGAACACCCACTACGACACCTCCAGGACACCCTCCAGAAGATTTTCGGAGACGCCCTCCAGGACACCTCCAGGACGTCGTCCAAACAGAGGATAATGCCAGGGCGCCCTCCAAGACACTCCATAACATCCTCCAGGACACCTGCAGGGCACCGCCAAGGACACCTTCAAGATACTCTCCAGGAAAGCCTCTTGGACACATCCAAAACACTTTTCAAACAAAAATCCTGGGCACGCGCAGGACACACTCCTCTCCAGGACACCAAGGAGGCAGGGGGCGGGGGGGGGGGCAGGGCCCACGGTCGGAATGGAGCATGAGTTTGGGGGCAGGCTCGGCGGGCCAGGGGAAGGCGTTCGGGGGCGACTTCTGGTCCTCGTGAAAGATGCACCAGAAGAGCAGCAGGGCCAGCTCAGACCCCTGGCCGTCGTGGAAGAGTCGTCGACAGAACAAGAGCAGGAGAAGCAGCAGCAGGGCGAGGGGATAGAGGAAAGAGAAGGAGGACGAGGACGAGGACGAGGAGGAGGAGGAAGAGGAGAAGGCGGAGGATGAGGAGGAGAGACAACTTGTTCGCGCCTCCCGCTTCCCTTCCCGCACTCAGCAGCGAGCCCCCCAGGTGGTGCTGGACCCTGGGATCCAGAAGCTCGTGAAGGCGTGCCACAAGGCAGAGCACACGGGTGCGGGGGGAGGGCGGAGTGGGAGGGGGAGAAGAGGGGCGAGGGGGAACCTCTTCCTCCCCATCCGCCCCCCCTTCGTTCCTCCCCTCCCTCCTCCTCCTCCTCCTCCTCCTCCTCCTCCTCCTCCTCCTTCTCCTCCTCCTCCTCCTCCTCCTCCTCCTCCTCCTCCTCCTCCTCCTCCTCCTCCCCCTCTCCTCCTCCTCCTCCTCATCCTCCTCCTCCTCCTCTCCTCCTCCTCCTCCTCCTCCTCGTCCTCCTATTCCTCCTCCTCCTCCTCCTCCTCCTCCTCCTCCTCCTCCTCCTCCTCCTCCCCCTCCTCCTCCTCCTTTATTTTTTCTGATAAATAATCCCTCCATGTCGCACTCCGAGGCTGGTCGAAAGGGCGGGCCGGGCGTTTCGCTTGAGAAGTCCTTACAAAACGTTTATGACCTTGATGCTTTAAAATTGATAACAGCTTCACAGATGGAGGGCCGGTAGTTTTCGAAACGTGGTTCTCACCGTAACGCCGCGCGCACTCGTCCTACACATTTGCAAACTATTCACAGATTGAGGGCTGGTTGGTTTCAACATGTGGCTCTCGCCTTAGCGCTGCGCAATGCACGAGTTTGGCGACATGAGGGCGGGATCGTCTTCAAAATGTAGCTCTCGCCGCTGAACCGCACGCATTCCCTCAAAAATGCAAGAGCGTCACGGATTCCGGGCGGGTGGTTTTCAGAACGTGGTTCTCGCCGTAGCGTCGTTCGCATTCGTCTTAAAGTTTGAAAGAGTTTCACGGAGTGAGAGAGGTTCCGTATCTAAACGTGGCGTTCGCCTTAGCGCCGCGCACACTCGTTTTAAATAGTTGCAAGAGTTTCACTGCTTCCCATGGCTAGCGTACCAGAAACTGCGTGTTGGAACGATTACGGATTGTCATGGCGCAACAGTTGCGCCGATTTGCAGGGCTGAAATCCCAGGAATTGTGTTTTGGCACGGTTCAAGTTCGTCAAGACACAACAGTCAGGTTCATTCGTGGCGGGGAAGTCCCGAGAATGTTGTTTGGGTACACTTCCGGATCTTCAAATTGTTGTCTCCCAAAAGGGCACTTCCTTCAGTGGCAGTGAATCCTTGTAGGGGCCTGCCTGCGAAGAGGGAGTTTGGGGGGAGGGTTTCTTCCAACATCGTTGATGAGTCTTGGGTTTACACTGGTCCTCCTCTTCCTGCTCCTCCTCCTCCTGCTCCTCTTCCTCCTGTTCCTCCTCCTCCTCCTCATCCTCCTGCTCCTCCTCCTCCTGCTCATGTTCCTCCTCCTCCTCCTCCTCCTCCTCCTCCTCCTCCTCCTCCTCCTCCTCCCTCCTCCTTCCTCGACTCCTCCTCCTCGACTCCTCCTCCTCCCTCCCTCCCTCCCTCCCTCCCTCCCTTGGTGCCGATGCTAATGATCTACTCGTGGCTTGTCCGTGCGTAATCATAGCCAGCGAGCGCCGCCATCAGCTGACAGCCGAGACGGCTAATCGGGAATGCAATCCAAAAAATCCCTCCCTCCTGCTCATCCTTTCCCCCACCTCCTCATCCAAGAAAGGGGTGAGAACTCAGGGGGGGGGGACATCATGGCCAGGGCCATGAAGTCTCCCAGATGTCACGGCCCCCTCGTCCTCGTTCACCACGTTCCCCTGCCCCCCATCATCCACGTACAGGCTTCGGGCCATGCTCCGCGACGCCCCCTCCTCCTGGCCCTCCTCTTCGGCGCACCCGACCTGGCAGGCCGCGAGAATGGCCTACCTCCTAGGGCCTACCTCCCACCCCACCTGCTTCCCCATAGCCGTCCTGCGGCTCGAGACATGCCCGGCACCTGCCCTGGAGGAAGGGGGGATCTGTGTTGAGTTATTCGGCTTCGCGTAGTGGTGCGCCACACCTGTTTGTACTGCCGCCCACATGACGGTCTCCAGCATTTGGCCCTCCAGCCACCATGGCTGCCCCCGCAGACAAGTCTGCCTTGGGGATCGGCGTCAAGCGTGTCTCGATAGCTAGGATGGCAGCTTGGACGAGCTCTGCCAGCTGTGCAGGGGAGAAGCTGGCAGCACCTACAACAGGAGGCATGGCTGCCAAGCCAGGCCCGCCCGCCAGCATGAAGGGATGGCACGCAATCTGGAGCAAGAAGCCAGGGTGACTGCGGAACTGTATTCGCGAGGGCTTCTTGGCTGACCCCGCCAGCCTCCTCCCACCCTGCCGTGGGACCCAGCCTGGGCGCGGTGCTCGCGCAACTGCTCGCAGGAGAAGCTGGTGATGCCGCCAAGTTCGCTATAGCTCAGACGACTCTTGCATGAATCCCAAGATGCCCGACATGCGGTCCGCAGGGCGACTGGTCACTGTCATGGATACCGCTGGGTGGATGCTAGCCGAAGTTTGGAGGCGGCACCGCCACCACCACCACCACACGGCATCCCTACGCAGTCGGCGATGGGGCCAGAAGACCCCGCGGTGGTCTAGGCAACCACCAGGCTCGTCGACGATTCCGTCCGCGACGTGGACTGCAGCGACACACCTGGCTCCCCTCGCTCTGGGCAGGGTGGCGAGGTACTCCTGTCCAGCATCCTGCCTCCTGGGCGCAGCACCATTCAGGAGCAACGTTGAAGGGGGACTATGCTCAGGGGGGGACGCATCGACCCCGAATCGCTTATCCATCGCCGACAGGGGCCCAAAAACCCACCCCACCCAGGAACGTGCGGATCCGCTGTCGTGGGCCTATCGCCGATCTATCGGCGGTGTATCGCCCATTCCAGGTCGATGTTTCGCACCCTGAGCTGGACCCCCCGAACACTGTCCCTCGACCATGCGACGGGCGGAGGAGTGCTGCCTGGGCGCACGCCGCAGCCCCGGCCGCGCCCCGCGGCCGCCGCAGAACTGCGCGCGGCGCGGGGCGGACTGCATGGCTCGTGGCCACTCGAGCCGCCAGCGTGAGCGGAGTCGTAGCCGTACGACGAAGTCTACCCAGTCGCAGTCGCGTCTAAACAAATGATACCTGAGAAAAAAAACAATCAGATGATTGTTGGGGCAATGGGGCTATATGGGCTATATGGCTATAGGGGTATAGTGATATAGGGCTATTGGGCTATTGGGCTATAGGGGCTATAGAACCTTAGGGCTATAGGGCTATAGGGCTATAGAGTTATAGGGCTATAGGGCTATAGCGCTCTAGAGCTATAGGGTTCTAGGACTCTAGGGCTATAGGGCCATAGTGCCATACGGCTGTAGGGCTATAGGGCTACTGGACTATTGGGCTATTGGGCACCCCCGGGCACCCGGGCACCCCCGGGCACCCATGCAGGCACCCGGGCTCGGCCACCGAAATCGGCCGCGCACCTTACCGGCCACCCGGGCACCCGGGCACCGCCGAGCACCCGGGCACCCAGGCCCGGCCACCGAAATCGGCGACAAACCTCACCTAACCCTTTAATCCGCTAGGACCCCTACAGAGGCAAGCTCTGATTGGGGAAAAGTTGTAGCTTTTGGCAGTGTTCGGCCTTCGGGGGCATGCGCGGGGCCCTGAGACCGTAAAAAACGACTCGAGATCAAAAACAGGCCCTCGGGAAAGGATCGGGACTTCGGGGATACCGCATTCAAAAATCAAGACGTCGCATGCTTGGATACGCTTTAGCCCTTGGCAAGTCAGGAGGCCCACGCATCGAAAAATCAATACGCCAGATGTGTTTGGGGGGGCCGGGGAGGAGGAGGAGGAGGAGGAGGAGGAGGACAAGGAGAAGGAGGAGCGAACGAGGAGGAGGAGGAGGAAGAGGAGGAGGAAGAGGAGGAGGAGGAGGAGGAGGAGGAGGAGGAGGAGGAGGGAGGAGGAGGAGGAGGAGGAGGAGGAGGAGGAGGGAGGAGGAGCAGGAGCAAGAGGAGGAGCAGGAGGAGGAATCTGATATATGCCTGCGCATCGTCGAAAAGGAGGAAGAAGAGGAGGAGGAAGAAGAGGAGGAGGAGGAGGAGTAGGAGGAGCAGGAGGAGCAGGAGGAGGTCCTCCGGAGGAGGGGAGGAGGAAGCAAGCCAGGCCCCGAAGCCGGCCGCCGAGGCGGGGCACCCTGGAGGGGGCGGCTCAGCAGTGGCCCTCCCAACCGTCAGCACGCGGCAGGTGACGGCGGCCGCCCACGCGGGGCCGCGGGTCGCATCCCTGGCCCGGATGCCGCGGCGGGGGAGGGGACCCGCGGGGTCCTGTGTGCGGCTCGGGGTGGCTGTGGACTGCTGGGAGGAGCGGCGGCAGCGCCCAAGCCAGGGGCCCGTCCTGACCAGGACTCTTGGGCCCGTCTTGGGCCCCTCGCGGGGGGGGGGCTCTCAAGAGAGCCCCCCCCCCCCCCCGAGAGTCTCGTGGGTCATCTTCCCCAAGAGAGCCTCAAGAGCCTCCAGGATGGCCCGCCCCATGCTGGAGGGGGAGGCCAGACCGCTGCCGCGCCAGCGCGGCCTGCCGACGGGTCGAAAGTCGGCGCGGCTGCGTGAACATACGAACATGTTCGAAGGTCGGAGTGGATTTCTTGGATCTGCGCTGGGCCCCCCTGGCGACGCCGCGCCGGGGAGGGGGATCCGGCGCAGATCCAAGAAGCCTGCGCGGATTTCGAATGTCTGTGTGTGTGCACAGCTTTCTTCTTAAAGTGGCCTGGGTCGGAATCGGAATCCACCAGGGGTCGAAGAAGCAAGCGAGGCTTGGCTTCGACAGAGGCATGGCTCTGCGTTCCGGCAAGAGCGGGACTCGCCGGAGGCCCCTGGACGTTTTCGGATGCCCCCGGAAGCCGCCACAAATTGCTCAAATCGGGTTGACCCAACCCGGGTCCAGCGACAAGGGGGTGGGGCAATAGATTTGGTGCAAGGGATTTGTGGGGTTGCAATACATTTGGGGGCGTGCAATACGTTTCGGGGCGCAAATGTATTGCTGCATTTTCGCGTGCATTACATTACTTGCAAAACAACGCAATACAATTCTCCAGCGCAATGCATTTGCAATACGCTTGCCCGAAATCTA